TAAGTAGCATTTCACATAGACTTAACCACAATAAATGTGTGTCGCTTTGTCAGACAGCTCGAAGTGTAAGGTACGATCGTAAGCCTACTACTGCTACTTTTTTACAATTAATGGAGAGGTGTGTGATAGAAATGTGATAGGTAGAAAGAACCAAAGCAGATTTACACGCTATAAACTAAATTCTCACATCATATAGTCGGTATGACTAAGCATCTCAATTTATGCACGGCGGGGAAGATCCGGTTAAAGATGGAAAAGTCCAAGGCAACTCACTCTACATCGGTTACCTCCGCTAGTGTTATAATAAATTGGTTTGTACGATAAAATATGAAATTAATATTTAAAAAAATTTTTTTAAAGCGTTTAAGAGAGGGTCCGCCAGAAGACTACCCATCTCGGCTATAGGAAAATTTTAGATTTCGATTTTGATTATTCCATCCGAAAGAGCATAAAAAGTTACTATGAAAATCGAAATATTAGTTCATTCTGTCCTACATATGAAAACTGGTGAGCGTCGGAATTCTTCAAATTTTCAGATCAAGTCCTAAAAATCGAATTTTTCAATGCTGATCGTATTTTTTAATTTTCTCCTCTATAGATTGACGGTTTGAGGTGCAAAACATCTAAGATGATAGAGAATGTTTTTCTCTACAAAACAGGCATATTCTATTAGTTTTTGAATGCCATTTTTCATGAGGAACAGATCAGGTATGAAAAATAAGGATGCAATTTCGGTCATCAAATTCCAGTATTATAAACGAAAATATTATCGAAGTAAGAGATCCCAGGCTGATTTTCTGATATGTTGTAACCCTGATAACGGCGCATAGTTTAGTGTATTTCCTTTTCAAAAATTTTATCCAGAGATTATAAAAGTTTTCTTCACAAAATCTCAAATATGGTATTATTTGATATTTTATATGCCATTTTGACTGACATTTAACAGGTTTTGATTAGGAAGGTTGCTATTTGAATCAAAAGTAACAACATATTTGAAATCAGCGTCGAAAACTGCATCACCCTATGTGTGTGTTTCAAGCTTTTGTGTTAAATTTTTTTTTCGTTGAAAAAATCGCTAGGGTGCCCACCCCTGAGGGATCGGTCGAAAAATGAATAGAATTCGTTTAGGCAGTATGAAGCAACCTCGAAGCTTGTAAAATGCTATTAGAAAACAAAATAACGTAGAAAGAAGCAATAAAAACAGCATTTGACAGAAATTCATTTTTCAATTGATCCCTGAGGGGTACCCCAGCGATTTTTTCGACGAATAAAAAAGTTAACGGAAAAGCTTGAAACACACATAGGTTGATGCAGTGAATGATTCGAAATACGTTGTTACTTTTGATTCAAATAGCAGCATATTTGGAATCATTCACTGCATCAACCATTTTGCATCAAATTTTAAATAGCGATCATTGTTCATTTCAAAAAGAGTATGTCTCTCCACGAACTCTTTCTTTCACTGGTGAAAGAACAACAGAAGTAGCTATTAAAAGAAAGCACAATGTCACTCATTGCTATACAGTGCACCCTGATACATCAACTACTGGTCGATTACTGAACAAATTCTTATTTGTTCTTCAAGAAAGTGAAGATGAATTTGGCAGAATAGTGGAAAAAAATATGATTATTCCACCAAATGTTATAGTACAAGCACGATGTTCGCGGACGAATCACACGAGCGAGCTCCCTATTGACATCAGTAAATGCCCATTTCTATGGCAATTACATCTCAACCTGCGACTTGATTGCGATTCGACCAGCTATGAGATGTTGGTGACCTAAACGAATTTTTCTGCAAAGGGGTCGATTTCGAGATGATGCCGAAGAATATCCAGACATTTTGAGTTAACTTCTCGATCTTGAAACGCAATGTTTGCTGTCCAGTCGCATACTCATATTTCGCACGCACGTCTGTATGACCAGTCGAGTCATCTCTGAGGACGACTTTGAGGCCTTCTTCAAATTTAGTATTACCAAAAGTACGCTCGAAGACCTCTGTTGTTTCGGCAGCATCAAGACGAATTTTGGGGACGAGCATTGTGGAATCTTCTCGAACTACAACATTAGGTGGATTGACGAGTTCTTCTTTCAATTGCTTGAGTTTATCTTCCCATTCGCGCAGATCGGTCTCGATAAAACCATTACTTTGACGAACCTGACGCAGTTCATTGGTTAATTTTTCTAATTTGAGCTTAACTTCAGCTGAGTGCCTAACTGTGTGTTGAAGCAGTATGCTTCTGGTTTCTTCTGCCATTCTGTTGACCTTCGCGATCGATTCACACTCCCATTCGTCGATTTTTTGTACCAACACATGTTCTCGCGGCTAAGCCGATTGTTGCGTCATTGTTTGTTGAATGGGATCATGAGTAACTTCTACTTGGTCAAAGTGTTTGCTGAGCTCCTGACGATGATCCATCAAATGCTGGAAACAGAAGAGTTTTGAACATCCTTCACATCTAGCAACCCCTTTCTCTTTCCCACATGTCACGCAGAGAGTTTGGATTGTTGTCATCGCCACGCGCTGAATACTCGAATGTTTAGTGTGTTGGCAGATGCTGATGCGGAAAAGTAAGAATAAAGGAGCAGTGCTCGCTTTCTTTTGTCAACAGAGAGCTCACCTTGATGAAGGTGACTTGTTATTGTTGGCTAAACGTCGCATGAAACATAAAAACATTGATGTGATGTGTTTTACAGAGGTAGCTCGACTCGAGACTCGAATGTATGATAGTACCGCTACAACTAATAGAATAAGAAATACGAAATTCTTCAGTTTTTGGAGAAAATTTGTGTGCAAAGTAGACTACAGAAGTATTTACTACTTTTGAAATTTTATTTGTATTTGAACAAAATCAAATCACAATAGTAGACAATCTGGTATATATAACAATATAGTAGATATGCGAGAATAATTAAATAGCAAATATAAATAAAAGAGAAAGCACGACCATGAAAAACGTGTCCGCATAACTTTTCATGTTTGTTTAATGTCAATGACAAGATTGTTGAGGACAATCTTTATATACATTTTGTTTGTGCGTTAATGCACACCCTAGAGAATGTCCAGTTTGTCTGGTCTTGAAAACAGAGTAGAAACTTATTTACTTACAGGTGTCTGTTTCCTGTTTTTGTTTTTTCTTGTGCTGGTCAGCTCCAAGATCAGAACAAGAAAGTGATAAGGTCAGATAAAGATAGTCTTCTTTTTCTACTGAGCCGACAGACAGTAAATCTAGGCCTGGTTGTGACTTTTTTGTGTGCTCTTGGTATTTTCTGAGAAACAGACACTGGTGAGGTTCAAGAGCAGAGCTAGGTTTCTTTTCATTATCAATGTTTTATTTTGCTAAGTCACGTGGTATATACTATGTAGTGATCACTAATTCTTCGAAAAATTTCGAAGTTATTCTCATAGGGGAGGAGTAATGTCCTAGAGATTTCTCTGCTGAACAAGAGATATCTAACGACATTCCGAGTCTGATGGAGAGCCTTCATATTTCTGCTGATTTTTGCGCAGTATGGGCGATCAGCGAGCAACAAACCTAATTTTTACATATATACAACAAGCTAGCGGTCTTGATTTCTTTCACTGATCCGATGAAACACAGGTCTTGACCAGGAAAACAGGCAAGGACTTTTTTACTAACAGATATGTGACCAGTGGTCTGACCACACAAACTGGACATCCTTCAAGGTAGTGTTTATAATAAGTGCCAAGTTCGTTGGATGTAAATTTCCCATTCTTGAACCATCACGGAAACAATGTTATTCTTTGTTAATGGATGATGATGACATAGTCTTTCTTTCCATTCACGAAAGTACCGTTATCTAACGGGCTCAATATTTTTGCTGCTTTAGATGACATAACTTTGATGCCTTCTATCTGAAAACAATCCCCTAAATGAAAACTTTCCATTAACTGCTTTTTATCGTGAATTGAAGATAAAATAAAATAAAATACATTGGATAGCTATCTAATTCACTAATGTCTTTTGCCAATCAATCTTGAATGTAAGGCACCCGTAATTCAAAGATCGAGTACAACTTTTCCCCGAACAAATCATACACCATTCGACGTAGAATTTCATACTGATTTCGAGTATGTATAATATGTCCAGAAAAACGCCTTCTTTTAGTCGAAAATCTCAAAAAACTCAAGAATCAAGAAACCTGAAAAACTGCCTTTTTTCGATAAAAGTGTTTTTTTTTCGTACTGTTCGGTTTAAACGATGAAATTTTTTTCTTCATATTCACCGTGTAAAAATGTATCAGAAAATGGTGTTTCGAAATTGTTCGCATATTACCTGACCGATATACCGCCCATTTTTCTAGAAGACCTAAAAATGCGACATATTTCGATTGTAAACCTATCAACTCCAATTGGTTGAAGTATAAAGACTTAAATCTTACGTCATTCGAATCTTCAAACGATGAAGAAAAAAATTACGTAGGCTTTTGATCGACTGATCTGTATCTCTATCCTAAACGAATTCTGATTTACCGCATTTATGCATTTTACAAATTTTATGAAGTGTTGATGATGGAAAACAAATATCATTCAAACTTTTCAATGGTTCTAAATCATCGTTTGGATATCCAATGCAAAAACGCAGAATACAAAATGATTTTTTAAATATTGATGCTGAAAATTGATTATGTATAAGACTGTATTATTTTATTATATTATTTCTTTCTGTCATATTAATATCAATATCATTCAAACTGATTATCCATTCATCTTTATCCTTGGTTGAATTGTATAACTGTGAGTGACAGCAGTTTTTGACTGTAGTGATGGCATGAATTTTAGCTGAGCACTGGTTTACGGTTTCCCAGAAATCTTCTGAAAAACCTGAAAGCTTCAGTGTTGTGCTGGACCATTTTTTCGGTTTGATCAACAATATATAGAATCTCTCAATACTCGTTCTCGTACTCATTCATTCGATGGCGTGTACAAAACTAAAAAATAAAAGTTAAGCCTTTTTCTAAAAATTTCTTTTATAAATAAAATATTTATATTTAATGTCATTTTTTGTATATTCTTCACTTAATAATAGATGCTGATTAAAACAATTTTTTAATATCAAATAATGTCTGTTACAAAGCAACTAAATCAGCTGTAGTACAGAAAAGACATACATGCTCTTCGTCAACGGACGTTTGCGCGACCGACGTTTGAACCCCGACATTTGAGTGCCAACATTTGAGCGACCGACACTTGAGCGAACGACATTATCGCGAACAGGATCGACTCTTCCACGAATTTCTCGTAGCACACATTTGGGTATTTTTGGCAGTGTTTCGTTGGAGGTGGGGGGTGTGGGCAGTATGAGAGTGAGTTCAAAAAGTAGTTTCACACAAAACATGTAATCATCGTGCGAAACTGTGTATCTGTAACTGTATCACATAGTGCCCATTCACCACATAATTTCACTTAGACAGCATGTCGATCACTCAAGTGTCGGTGTCGCTCAAATGTCGGTCGCTCAAACGTCGGTTAATGATGCTTTTTCTGTATGTAACTACGATAGTTCCATATTCATTTTTTTTAGCCAGATTGAACAATACTATAATCAATTCTCTTTCCAAATCAGTCACCAATGAATAAATTCACCGGTGCGAATTTTGAGAATTATCCCTTAGTGTAACTATATCTATTGAAGGCTCCGCGCGTGTCAGAAATATACAATTTTTGTATATAGGCACTACTGAGCTAAACATATCTGTTGCCTTTTTTATCAACAAATGATAAGGTACCAGTTAAACGTAGTTATTTATTAATACCCATTTGGTCTATATTTAATGTTTCATTTGATGATATCATGAAATTAATTGTTGAACATGGTGAAAAAATCTTTGTTTTGGGTTAGTTAATAGAATGCACAATTAGTGCGTCCGAACGTCGTTAGGCTTTAGTATAAGTGAAGTATTTCATACCTTTAATTATAAAGAGTGGGAACACATTAATATTTAGAGGGGTTAGAACGTGTTCAATACTCGACCTCGTTCAAAGCAGTTAATAACAACTATTTCAGCCGGTTTATGCGTGTGAAATGTTGTTACAGAAATATTAGTATTTATTGTGTGCATGACACATTATGAGAAACATGTAAAATAAGTTCTATAGTATGGCCTGTCCAACTAACGGTCACCTTCACTTAAGATGGTTCGAAAATTTTTTTTTAACTTTAAGAATTTATGAAGCACATCGTCTAACGTAGTTTTTGAAGCTGATTTCTAATATCAACTTAAAATTTCCATAAAATTAAATTTTGACCTCAAAAAATGAAATCCAAATTTTATTTTTAGTTTCCTGACCTAACTATTTTCGCGAAAAAAAATCGAGAGATATGGCGTTCTGTAGAGAATTTAATTCTCTACAAGATGGTGTATTTACTTTTGAGTTTAGGTGCTTTCCAAGAAAGTTGGTTTTTCGAAAGACCAGGTTTTAAAACGGGTTTTTCTCCAAGTCAAAACGATTTTAAAACGTTTTTCTACGGTGCATCGGAAAGATCAGATCAGATACTGTCTACTGCTATCGGAAATATTTTTCTATGACGACTTTTGTAATGGAGTTTAACCTTCTGATTTGAAATAACCGAAAAAAGCTGTAAGTCCATAACGAAACGCGGGTCCGTAACGTTTTTGTTTTTGATGTATCTGCCAGACTAAACACTTTCGAGACAAATCTTTTTTTGCTTTATATAGGCTTAATTCTCAGCTACATTTGCTACGAAAAGGTTTTTGAAAGAACCTCTTTATTCGCTAAACTTATTATCTGTTTTTGCTCTGCTTTACATTCACTTCTATTTTTTGTAAGTCCAGGTTCTTAAATTTCTTAAGGGTACTATGAAATAAATAGATCACACAATATTTTGCTTATGCTTCTGTTCAATTTCATCAATATTTTATATTCATTATCATCAGAACGGTTGAGACACAATTTCTTTTGATTTTACTATGATATATATAGTTATGATATATTGGCACCACTTCTTTTTTTCGATGAGGCAGGAAACTCAACTTGCGTCCACAAGGAGAGCACCAAATATCCTAGCCCGTACAGATTTTATTCAAATGAATAAAATCACACAAAACATCAAAGCAAAAGACTGTCCTTGGTGTGTACGAACAAGCACCATATATAGATGA